AGCCATCTAGACTAAGTGAGAATAAACAAGATTGTATGAGATAGCACATACTGCAGAGAAGATAAGAAAAATTTAATCAACTACTCTGTTAGGAATTACTAACGGGATTACAGAAGATCAGTATGGTATGACTGACCGGATCAGTCTGGTACAGATCCAATTTTATCAAACCGTACCATACTGATCTGCCTATAATATAATATCAAAATAGTATGGTATGGTTTCCCTATACAAATCGTACCATACTAGTCTTGCTTTATATATTAGCATAATACCTAGTATGGTATAGTTTATACATATACCAGGAACGTAGTAGAACGTAGTGTATGGTTCCACTCGAGTTTTGCGTTCGTACACAAAATCTTGAATCTGATTGGTGCCCTGTTTTTTATTATGATTATATTGAAAAAGTATGATCGACATTCTTATTATATGACGTATTTTTTATGGTTGAAATTATGCGCGCGTGACTCAATTTTAAATAATCTGGTCTAATAAACAGGAGGAACTGTTCAATGTTACACATTGTTCGTGTATTGTCACATGTTTATCAGCCAATCAAATCATGTGTTTAAAAGATAGAAAATACAAAATCGAAGTGAAATTAAAATTGCAATAAATTCAAAGATTAGAATAAATGTATTATATTTTTGTGAAGTAGGTAAGCGTATTTATTGTACGGGTCTTATGTGACAACCCGTGCTTTTTTCATTTGGTTATTGCACGGGATTGTTATGTCAGACACCGTGCAATAAGATAGTTATTATATGGGTATATGAATAACCCAGTCACACACATGGGTTCATATTTAAATCCCGTGCCTTCGGCACGGAATATGAACCCGTGAGTAACTGGGTTATTCACACATACCCATACAATAACTATAATCTATTATTTTGTTTAATTAATAACTAATTGACGAGTTTACATCGAATTATAATTTCTATTTGACGAATTCATGTCGAATTATCTAAATAATCTTTCGTATATCATCTAAAAATCTACAACTCAGACATCACGATCTTTTTAATAAACTTTTATCATTTAAAATCTGAAGTCGTGGTCTCTTTATTACGGTAATATGACAGTTGTTCTAATAAAAGTTCTAAAGTTTTATACTTATACATATTTTCGATTCTATCTTAGAAAAAATATAAAAATGATATATAGTTAGTTAAGCTTTTAAAACTTATAAAAAGTATAAAAAAAAATATATAAACTAATCCTCAAACCCACGCTACTTTATTAAATCGTGCTTCTAACTTTTTTTTATTGGTTTTTATTGCCCAACGTCTGAAATTTGTAGTGCAGTGTTTCGTAAATTACTTACTTACTTATACATCTTCAAAGGGCAAATCGTCATATAAAAGTTGGTGATTCAAGTGGATTCAACCGATATTATTAAAATACGATGCAAAAAGCTTCAAGTTTGACTTTGGACGTGATTACGTTCATAGGGATAATTGGCTATACAAGCCTCATGAAAAATTACTTTAAAATGTATAAATTACGAGGTTAATCAATTGTGTAACATGTTGTTATTTTTAGATACGGTTCCTCCTGTTGGTCTAATAACGGAATTGTTTCTGTTAAACTTGAAACCTGAAAATAATGATTAATATTGTGACAGATCGCTGTAAGCATTTAAGTTTGTGTTGGATAGTTGTAATAATATGAAATTAGCAGGTTCCTTTGAGATGAGGTTTAGGTTCGAATTGATATTGCTGGGGCAGATTTGTTTATTATTGATGTAGGTTCACACTTGGTCTTCTTCTGAAACCGGTTTACTGCGTTAGCATCATTATATGCGGAATTTTATACTCGCCTGCATGCAACCTTTATTATCGGACTTTATGATGCCCATGTAATTGTCACAGGATCATTTTTCCCTGTTTAGCACTTTTTCAATCCGTTGACTATAGTCAACTCGAAGTATGTGCATAAATATACAAAATAAATTGCATACTTTAACAGATATTTATTTATTATATAATGGCATATATTTGTACAGATATTTAATATTATGTTAATCATTCATGGTTATCGCTTATATACGAACTTTACAATGAGAACATTTATATACGATAGTAAATGCGCTAATTATTACGTTTTTTATTCATTTTACAGCTTTCTTTTTCTTTTTTATCTTAATTGTTCTGACGCTCTGTTTTCTCTTTTTAGGTTGTTCTTTATCCTCTTCATCCTCATTTTCACCTGTCGACTTGTTATTTTTATCGGAAAACAGTACTTCTTCGTGATTAGTTTGAGGATTATCATTCTTCTCTGTTCCTGAATTCGGATAGTCTTTTATATCAGAAGTTGAATTGACTCCCATATCGGTGTAAGTAAAAGTAGGAAAGATGTTAGATGATGATGTAGAGGCTGTGGCGCCATCACGATTGGTGAAGGATTGGTTATTGAATGTCTGTGCGGTACCAGATTCAATATTATCGGCGATGATATTAATAATTGTGCGGGTTTTTGGTTAATTATCTGTTGAAGTTTCGGGTACATTGAGATTATAGAGCGGGAGCTTTTGATAATCGATGTCTGAAGCTTCCATCATTATTTTACCAGAATCAGAAAATTTAACGAGCCCTGAAATGAGATAAGTGTTTCTTCGTTTGATGTTTGATCCTAACACGCCTAAATGTCTAAATCTTACAGATTGAGTGGAATAGATAACAATTATCTCCATTTTGACATTAGATGATCCAGTTACAGAATTATATTCTGTACATTCGACTCCGAAATGTATAAATTCTTCGGTTTTTTTTGGATCGCGATTAACGCTTGCAGAAATCATGCAGTGGGGGCGCATACAGGAACACTAGTTATGTCAAATTCACGTTCGGGTTTGCCAGTATTTATGATACTAGCATATGCAACACTCATGTACTCTTCATGATTTTCAAATATGTATTTACCTGAGACAAATACAATGTCGCCAGGGTTGAATAATTTAGGTAATGCATCAGATGGAACAAAATATTTCCATCTGATAGTATGCGATGTCTGTTGAGAAGTTTTATACTTAGCGTATCCGTATGAGCATGATCTATTGCTCTTTACAGAAATAATGACGATAAGAAGGGCAATATGCCATGGCATTTTTTACTCGTAAATTTGTCGTGAATATGAAAAATTTTTTATACAGCTAATACATGATTCTTATATAGAGAAACTACGTTGTTGTTTTTTTTTAAAAAAAACGCAAATTATACTTGATTTGATCTTTGAATATTATTATTATGCTATTTTCTAATACGTATGATCATATGATTTGCTGTCCTTTAATGCTAATAATAATGTACTCTTCTATACATTTGAGCAAATATATCAATGTTAATCCTATATTTCACATGCAATATTCTTTACTATCTATTATAATCAGATCAAAATTCGTGTTCTTTACCTGTCTACAATCTACTCATTCTTTTTAAAATTTTATCTTTTTTAACGTAAGAAGTTACAATTATCACGTTCGAATCATTTACGCAACAAGTAAAACAATTAAAACCTGTTAATTTTTTAGGATTTTTTCTTTTTTCATGTTAATAAATTTTTTTTAATGCGCTATAATAACAATTACATACTAAATTTAGAAATTACCCGATCCTAATTAAAATATGGCTAGCGTTAGAGTCGTTCTTATTGCATATAATTCTAAATAAATAACAAGATGTAAACAGACAAGCATCACCACGATATGTTATTTAATAATTATAGCATCTAGCATTCATTAAGCTGATAACTGATAATCAACAGTAATATTAGAGTGTAAGAGTGAAAACCTGGAATTAAAAATTTTGCCCATAAAAAAAAATTGATGATCGGTGTTTTGATATTTTCAAAATGATCTTACTATAAACTCAGTAATATCATTATGTATATTAATGAAATTACAGTAATTTCATTCATACCAATCTGAAATTATCAAAACATTGAACAGTCAAATTTTTATTTCCAGGTTTTTCACCTTCACGCGCTCATATAATAAATAACAAGTTTTAATCCAGAAATCAATGAAATTTACCTTGATCTGTTATTTATGTTGAGAATTTCCTTTTAGATAATTGTTATAATCGGGTTAAGTTTTACTTGATAAAAAATATATTAAATTCTAAGAATCATTCTTGTTATAAGAAAATCATACGATTCTTCAAACAAGGCGATGTAGATAAGTAAAGACAGATAAATATTATTTATCAGGTTAGTAAATAAACTGCATGCATTTTAATCAGGAGCATATTAGATGAAGATAAGCGATTTGAAGATGATAAAAGATAATTGTTATAGCATTCAAACCAAATACGAAAAAGTAATCATAATCCCTATTATATTGAATAATTACTTCATGATTAATATTATTAAAGACTTACTTGAAATTTGCGCTAACTTAAAATCTTCCTGATTCAAGCTCGAAATTGCTGAGTCCAGAGGTTATTATTCAAACGTGCTAATATGATTAAAGCTTGGATAATATAGTGATTAGTATGCTACGCTAAAAAAAATTAAATTTGATAATATATTTATCTGAAATGATGCTTGTAAACCTTATCGCAAACATCTAATTATCATAATACTCAAATCACTCTCGCTTCTATCAAAGCTTGTTATGTTAGGATGTACGATAAAATTTAGCTTGCTTAATGTTGTATATTAATCTATCTTTGCCGCCTCGCATGTGAGACTTTTGATCCTTGTCGCTATTGTATTATCTATTATTATAACTGAATTTCTATTTCAATAAATACGATCCCACAAATCAGATCTGAAATGCTGCATAATCATCGTCCTTTTTTTACCTTACAATTCGAAAGCTACTCAATTAATCTCCATATCTGGCATATCTAGTAATATTCCCCATATTTCATATCTACCAGATACCTTATCGAATAAACTTTTAATAATAATTGTGAATCTGGTCTTGTTTTTATAATCTAGATTTAATTTATATCAATAAATAAGAAATAAGATTGTAATATAAAAAAACAATTACCTTAGTTGTTCGTGTAACTTTTTATAACTATATTTAATGTGAATAAAAAAGTAAATCAATATTATACCTTTAAGGCATTATATCAAATTGTTCCGTTATTTTATCACATAATTTCTTTTTGATCCAAAAAAATTTTCTTTAAAAATCTTCGAGCTATATTTAACAATATAACTTAAACTATATAACTTAAACAATAGTAAAGTAAATTCACTGCTTACATGTAAATAATAGCACCAACTTTCATACTCAATTTATTTGTTATATAAGGCATAACTTTGGCCAACCAACATATTATCTCTAGATAATAATCTTATTCGATTTAATATTAATTTCTGATCTGCTTCAATATCTATAAATAACAACAAAGCTTTGTAGTGTTCACTTTAACAAAAACATACAATCGCCCTAGATTATATTTTCCTAATTAATTACTGGTATATACAAGCCTCTGTTCGTAATCTCAATCTATTACTTCTATTATGACTACTACTAAAACTAGAGGAGAACTTAGAAAAAGAAAAACTAAAGACCGCCTAAGATCTAAAGATCAAATCCAAAATTTCATGAGTTAGAAAATAGTAAATCTAAAGATCATATGAAGTTCTTACGTAATCAGCAAAAACTTAAAAATATAGCTGACCGACTTGCAAAAGATGAACAAGCTAAAGCTGCAAACATACCTTTACGCATTTTAGAATTAGATGAAGATTTTGATAAATCAAATAAAAAATATTCTGACTGGCCGCAAATTATTAACCTGTAAAAAGACTAAGATAGAATATCTAAGGGAGTTGACTTGTGCTATCTGTTCAAGAACATTTTGTATCAGAAATTTTAAAGAAGTTCGCGTAGAAGACATTGATCTTTCATTATTAAAAGCACCGATACAATTTACTGCATCACTATTTGAAATTGATTTTATTTATGCTCATCCATATATCGACAATCTTGGATTTCAAGTTCTTCTTGATTGAGCTAAATTTATTTACCCGAATGATGTTTGCCAAAAAATAAGTCAATCTGAAAATTATAATAGCCTATTCAAATTACGGATATGTAGTTATTGCTATAACTATCTAAAAAAAAATCACAACCACCTTTATCATTAGCGAATAACATGTGGATAGGTTCTACACCTAAATGCCTTCAAGATTTAACTATTCCAGAACAACTTTTAATTTCACCGGGCTATCCTTGTGTAAATATTATTCAACTAACAAAAAGAAGACATACTCATCATAAAATCAAAGGTCATATCATTACATTACCTCAAAATCCTTCTTCACTATTAAGGGCTTTATCTTTACCGGTATTTAAACTATGTGAACATCTAAAAGTAGTATTCGTTTGACAAGGAATTCCTTCCAATGATCATCTTAAAAAAGTACTTCAAGTTCAAAAGAGCAAAGTGAGCGCTGCTCTTTGTTGGCTTTTTAAGCATAATGTTTTGTTTAAACAATTTGAATTTGATGAATCTGCATTAAATGATTTACCAGAAGGAGAAGTTCCTGAATCATTATTACTAACAACC